GTCCTTCCACAGGATCAGAAATGTGTAAGCTTTGGAGCCAAGTCTAGTTTAGAATGATTGATGAAAATGGCTAGAAAGGAAAGCACAGTGGAGAAGGCATCTTCCTGCCATGTGSGTGATGCTGCTGCATCTACGGGAGCAAAAGACTAGAACTATGTCAAATAGATGGTGGAAAAGAAGGGATAGGAAATACTGGGGATTTGTCTTCCAAAAGGAAAGGTTACCATATCCTACTCAGCAGAGAAAGATACGGGGAAAGGGTGTGTGATTTTAGATGCCTCTAGGTGAGGCAGTGCCTGCCTTGRACCAGGGTGGGCAGGGGCTGTTTTTCTGCCACGGGCAGCAGGAGCATGAGCAGGGAAGGTGCAAGACATGGGAAGCAGTGCTGTRTGAGCCATTTCAAGCATGTCAGGGCAGATCTTGAGAAAAAGGTAACTAAGAGCAGTTGAATGGGGCAAAATGCAGAGCATTTGGCAGCACTGCAGGGTGAGGGGCTGCAGCCAACACCCACGTGTTACTGCAACTGGGCACTCCATGTTTTGTTTCTCTTCAGCCTTTTTGATAAAACTGAGTTCTTAATAAAGGCCTGTGTTGCTGCTGGGCTCTAARACAATACTCAGACTTCAAGAAATGTGCCATTGGGTCTCAACATAGTGATTAAACCACTGCATAAAGGAAGTGTGCCATCCAGACTGAAGTTCATGGTATCTGCTCCGTCTACAACACGGTGAAGAATCCGCAATGCAGGAGCATGGCAGACCTCTGGGACGTGGAGGTGCTGTGGTTTCTCAAGGAGCATCTGATGCTGCCACTGGCAATGCCACTAGGACATGACATGAGCTGGTGTCTGGAAAACAGGGGTCATGTCCCCTCATAAGAGATGAAACAAAATGTGTGAGCTCCTGGCTCCCAGCTGCTCATAATAAAAACCGCCTTTGTAGCTGGACAAGAAACTGTCTTACTGCTTTTAGATAACTGTTCATTTGAATTTGGACAGATGCATGAGCCACTCTGTTRCCCAAAGAGGCATCATTAACACCGAAATAAGTCAACAGTAGCTTATCAAGTGGCAGGCTGGGTCTAAAATAGTGTATTTCTGTAGCTCCCAATTCCCTTAGCCTGAAGAAGGAGAAGGATGAGCTATAGCCCTGGGAAATGCAGAACAATAGGCAGAGACCTTGCTGAGCATACTGATTGCTGTAGTGGAAAAGGCACYGTGGTAAAGGCAGAAACTACAGATACATACAGAATAAAAACACAGGCACAGAAACGTGTTTCCTTCAATTGAGAAGGCAAGCTGGCCAATTCCAATTTCCACCACTCCTGCACTGTGCCTGAAAATGAGATCTTGTCAGTACAGGCTACAGACGTAAGTTGGCATCTTGGTCATTTTATGTGTTGTTTTCAGATTGTGAAGAATTATGCAGCAAATAGCCACAAATTGTTATGATACCAGCAGTGACARGGTCTGATGTGAAGAGGATAAGAGAGGGTGGGAAGAATTTTAGAAAGCTGATAGGCTGGCTCCGTCTATCTGTGATAGAAGTAGTGTGCACAGGTGGATAGACCCCAGTCACTCCCTGAACACAACCACTCCAGCAGCTGCAGACGTGAAAACCGTTCCCTCATATGATATGTAAAGAAATATCTATCCAGCCTCCCAGGCTGGACKAGAAACATGAAACTGCAGTGGACACAGCACAGAAATTGTGGTGAGAAGCAGAGGGCTGTAGAAGGAGGAGGAAACAGTAAGAAAAACCAGGGTTTGAGCTTTATGACAGGAGGCACAAAACTGGTTGTCAGTGTCTCCAAGACTAATAAAAGGTTTAAGTCAATGTCCTAGCAATGAAAAACAAGCTGACAGTATACATGCCAGCAGGAATGGGTGTCAAATGTCAGCATGGAAAAAAGACAGCACTGGCTTTTGCCCTGGATGTCAGCAGCTTCATATCGACATTTATGASCTGAAACATTGCAAACATCTTTTGCAACAGCAGACACTTCCTCTGACTAGAGAGGGATCTTTCAGCTACTACTGTGCAGCTTGTAAACTGTTCACAAAAGAGCAGCATTTGGAAGTGTGCTGGAAGTAAATGATTGAATTCTATGTCTTCCATTCTGATCTTAAAAGTATAGAGCACAGTTTCCTCATCACACTGTAGAGGGATATGAACTGTGACCATGAAAGTTTGTGACCATGAAAACGAGATAATAATGCAAATAATTTAAGCTTTTTGCCTAGACAGGGCTCAGACCAAACAGTTCTTAYTCATTAATATCAGTTTAAGTGGGAGTGTTGCTCTCTTCTGCATGATGATTTATTTACTAGCACCAASTAGTGCAGAAAAATAGGTTTAAAAATATGAGGATTATTTAGAAGTTGAAAAATGTGAAAATAAAAAAAAAATTAGTCATCTGTTATTGTGGACTCAAATAACAGAAAGCTTCCTCAGTACTATTGCTATTGGTTTTTCTTTTGTTTTAAATTTAATTTTATTTTGCTATGTCCAAGACAACTTAATGCCAAGCCATGGAACTGGCAAATGAAAATCTAAGAGAAAAATTGGTATAGATGTGTTTTGCTGTACCACTTTCTCCAACCTGTACATTTTCCTCTATGGAGCTAACCTTGCAAGAGATTACCACAGTAAGAGGAATAATCAGCTGTGCATTCTGGGTCTTATCTCTGTTTGAGGGCTGGGTTTGGTGGGGGCAGGAGTAGATTGGCTAACATGCAATTATTTACTATTACACTATCAGACATGATTTGACCTGTGGGCCTGAAAGTTGCCCTGCTGGTCACCACCTCCAGGCCAGCCCCATCACCACAACTGGCTTTGAGCCCCATCATTGGAGCTGGGTCAAAACTGCRTTCTGGGACAACACATACTGTATTGTCCCACCACTGGCTGGTCAGGCTGTTGCCCCACAGGGTGACTTCAATCTTCAATTAGCATTGARGACATCAGAGATGAGATGATCTGTGCCACTGTGCCTCAATCTGCAGGGACGTGAGCATGGATCAGCTCAGGGCAACTCTTCTTGTTCTGGGCTCTGGAAAGCAAATTCATGGAAAGGACAGCACTGCCAGCAGCAGCATTTATTTTCTGTTTCTGTTAGTTACTGAGCAGTTTCACTGAGAGTCCTTTACAAAAAAACAGTACAGAGAGTTTGCTTGATGGAGYGGTTATGACTTCCCACAGGATTTCTTGTCCTCCTTCAAAGACCTCTGCCTTCTCCCTGGTGCTTGGCACCCTCTGGTGCAATGCCAGCTTCTCCTCAGGTGTGTTCCCCTGCCTCTGCAGCGTGCAGRTATCTGTGGCACCTGTATGCTGCTGAGCCACAGCCTCTGGCAGTTGGTCAGATGGGCTCTGCTTCTCTGATCAGTCAGTAGCTAGGTTTCTTCATTTTAGCTGAAGTGCTTCATCCTAATCGACAGGAAAATGACCCTTCCCTCATTCAGTGGAAGCAGGATGTGGTGTGGCCACAGATGTGCATTCTTCCATGGAAGTCACAGAGACTTCACTGCTTCTGTTCTACTGATGGCTGTATCTTGTCCAGCAGATACTCTGCCTTTATTTACATCAGCTACAAATGAGCTACTGTCTACTCATGAAATATTGGGGTTGAGTTTTGATTACCTTTTCTATGTTTTCTTTTTTTTAGTAAATATTGCAACCCTAAAATTACTAAACCCTCCACATATTGTGTCTTTTAATTGTTTTGCTAATCTTMATACTCTTAATTTAAGACTTCGAAGAATTTGAAGTTTTCTTTTCTAGAGCTTCTTAGAAAAGCCCTTCTCCAGCCTTTTAATTTTTTTAGCTGAGAGATTTGGATGCAGAATATGGTAGTCTATTGATTACACATCATAAGGTTTAGAACTAGCTTTATGAAATATTGSTGTTTTGTTTGGGGAGGTCTCAGTATATTTTTATTTTTGAATGTATTCTAAATTATTTTGTTAAATATCTAGAGTGCTTGAAGGATAGAACATGGGAGAAGACAGTTAAGTGGTGGATAGATTCTCTACTGCTTTGAACRTTGTATAATCATTCACACTTGCGCAAAGCAAGTGTGGGTGCTATTAAAACACTGACAGTATCTTTGAAGTGTTTAATGAAAGGTTTAATTTATACTGTGAGATAAACACACGCTGGAGAATAGCCCCAGAATCACCTCAATCTCACASTGGCAGAACAAGATCAGATCAAAGACTGTTCTTCCTGCATTGTCAAGATCATTTAAACACCTCCCCTTCATTGAACTAACCTTGCAATATGCAGTTTTACACAAATGCATCTAAAATATAGTTGTAAGATGAAATATGACTTTTCTTATGCTTGTACTTCAAAATTTATGCTTATGCAGTATTCTTACAACTTTGAAAACTATTTTTGCTTTGATAAAAACCCCGACTTTGACTGCAAAAAATGTATTTGTTGTGTGGTTTTACAGCTTTTTTTTTTTTTTTTTTTTTTTTTTTTTTTTTTTTTTTTTTTTTTTTTTATCCCTTTGTAGTTTAAAAGATCTTATCCAAAGTGAAGATGTGAAACCCAAGCTGCAGTACATCATGACTAACCCTTCCTTTTCTATGGTAACATGCCAAAGTGAAGACAGTGGAATAACCTGGGAAACCAGCTCCAGCAGATGTTCCACTCCCTGGACCTCAGAAACTAGTACAACTTCCGATCTTTACAGTATGGAAAGTTCACCAGTAGGTTCTCCTCCAGGAAAAGTTATCTTTATTATGGATGAAGGCAAGATTGTTCGGAAAAGGACACGCAAATCTTCAAACAGGGCGCCGACGGCTACAAGACCAAAGGGAGGCCAGGGCACCAAAAAACGCGACTCCTCTGGAATGCAGAGGCAAGAACCAAGAACTGTTCTAGGAGATGTGCCAGCCTCCGTGTTGAATGTTGAGCAGGTGGAAGAAGACAGACAAGACACAGATGAGGAAATGTTGGACAACAAAGAAGATCTAGAGAATACCACAGAGGAGCCCGTAAAACGTGCTCCAATAAGATCAATATTCAGGGAGAGCAGACTGAGAAAAGTTGGTCCTATTCTTGGAGGACCGGTACAAGCTAGAATCCAGCTGTTCAACTCAATTTTTGGAGGGACTGGACCACCCCCTGAAACGCTGGAGAAAAACAGAATCCGGAGAAGTAGCTCAGCTTCAGGAGATTCTGAAAAGTTCCTTGAAACATCAGTAAAAGAAAGATTGCAGAAGTTTGGTTCACTCTCAGAAGCAACACGTCCAATACATTTTTTGGGAGCTAGAAGTAAAATTCTTGAAACACCTTCAGAAAGAAGAAGAAAGCAAAGACAACTTGCAGAACAAGCCAATCAAAATTCTTCTTCAGCAACACCAACTTTTGAAAAACAGCTTACTAAGAAAAATGATGTTTCATCTGAAAATCTTGAACCTTATAAAATAAAAGAATCAACTCTCCAACATGCAGAAAGAAAAGACAGACAACCTGTTTTGGAGACTCCAAATCAGGTTTCAGAATATTTGTCAAAGAATGAAGAAGAAGCCAGGAAGCAGCAAAGTCATTCACCTGTGGCCAAAACATCAGTAACAGAGTCAACAACCTCGACGCCACTCAAGCCTGATGAGAAACAGGTGCTGCTTCCCTCAGCTGAAAATGCAAAGGAGAAGCCAGACCAATCCCTGCTGACAGCATCAGATCAGCTGGATGAAGGGAAGAAGCAAGAAGTTCAGACCAATTCTGCACCACAATCTGTTTCAGCAGATGTTGTTAATAAATTAGATAGACCAAGTTCCCAGCATATTTTGCCTACAGAATCCATGTCAGAACATCCTGAGAGGGAAACAGAGAAGTCTTACTTACCTGATATTCCATCAGATAAATCCAAATATTCCACTCTAATTGAAACAAACCAGGAAGATATTATTCCTCAGTCATCAGAAACTGCACAATCTGAGTCTGAACATGTGCTTTTACCATATTCTGGACATGAAACAGAGAAGCAAGAAACTGAGTGTCCATCATCAACAACTGCACTGTCAGAGTCTGAGACTTCAGGTCTAATGTATTCTGCTGAAAGAGAAGAGGGTAAAAAGACCCCACCCCCAGAAGTTCAAAATGTTCATTTAGAAAACCAAACAAAGTCTGAACAAGACTTTTTCCTTCAGGAAACAGGTGAACAAGGAATTAAATTCAAACCACCAATTCCTGAAAATATAGATTCCAAGTATCTCGGCATTTCATATCCTGTTCATACAGAAAGAGAAGAAACTTCAGCTATAAATAAAGCAGCAGATTTTGATCACTCTGATTTTTCCACTGAAGAAAACAAACAAGCAGAAGCTGCACAAATGGAGACAGAACATCCAGACTTCTCATACTCCACCAAAGAAACTGGAGAATCAGAGACAACACAGATGGAGACAGAGCATCTGAACCTCTCTTCTCCCGAGGAAGAAACTGAGGAATTGAACGGTGCACAGATGGAGATGGAGCATCCAGACTTCTCTTTTTCCAGGGAAGAAATAGAGGAACCAGGAAGTGGACAGCTAGAGACAGAAATTCCAGATTTCTCATATTCCAAGGAAGAAGTAGAGAGATCAGGGAGTGCAGTACCAGATAATGACTATCCAGAATTGCTTTTTTCCACAAAAGAAACTGAGAAATCAGGGAGATCACAGTTGGAGACAGAACATCCAGATGATTTTTCCAAGGAAGAAACAAAAGAAATAGAGAGTGCCCAGCTGGAGATGGAGCATCCAGACTTTTCTTTTTCCAGGGAAGAAATGGAAGAATCAGAAAGTGCACAGCTGGAGACAGAGTACTCAGATCTATCATATTCCAGAGAAGAAATGGTGGAATCGGAAAGTGCACAGCTGGAGATGGGTCATCCAGATTCTTCTTTCACCAAGGAAGTAGCTGAGGAACTGCAAACTGCAGAGCTGGAAGTGGAATATCCATCTTTGCTTTCTAGGGAAAAAACAGAAAACCAAGCATTCAGTCCTTTTAAACTGGAACAGAGAGAGTCTTACTCCCCTGAAGTAGAAAAACAAGAAGAAAAAGCAGAGCTTGAACTGGTACATTCAGATTTATCTTATTTGATGGAGGAAGCAGAAAAAGAAAACACTACAGAACTCCAGTCAGTACACCCAGATTTGTTTGGTTCCTCCAGAAGAGCTGAGACACAGCAGAGTGGGTATCTGCAAACAGCATTTTCAGATTTACCATACCCCATGAATAAAAGGACGGGGCAAGAGCTGTCACAAAGTGATAGAGGAGAACAGCCACAGCCTGTACAGCAGGATTCACAATCTGGAGCTAAGCTGGATTCCTTTGAGAAGGCAATGCAAGGAGAAACAACTCAGCTGCAGTCAGAGCATCCAGTTTGGCCACATTCTACTGGAAAAGAACAGGAACACAGAACTTCACAGCTGAAAGCGAAACAGCCAGAGACAACATCTTCTGCTGGCAAAACAGAACATAAAAAATTGCAACCAAAGCTGGAACAAACAGATTCACTGCATTCCCAGGAAGAAACAATACAAGAAGATGTACAAAGAGACTTAGAAGGTCCAGAGCCATCATGTTTCTTTAGTGAAGCAGAGCAACATGAAAATGTACAAGCAGTTCCAGAAAAGAGGGATTTCTCACTTACCCCTGGAGAAGTGATGCAAAAAGGAGTGGAATCAGGAACTTCGAGGTCACAGTTGACTGACAGAGCAAAGCCCTGGGAAATGACAGAAATGGAGCAGGAGCAGTCTTTGCCTTCTTGTTCCACTGCTGGTACTCAGCAACAGGAAACACCACCACAGAATGTGCCCCAGACAGACCTTTCACAGTCCTTTGGCAGAATGGATCAAGATACAGCACAAAGAGAGGTGAAACAGCAGGAAACAGCTCAACAAGAATCTGTGCAAATGGAAACAGAGTACTCAGTTATTCCAGAAAGCCTGGGTAAAGAGGAGCCACAGGTCACAGACCAAATTAATCTGGCACAGCAAGAAATAGCTCAGCCAAGGTTAGAGCATCCATCTTTGCCATATTCCTTCAGCAAACAATTGCAAGCAGAAATGCAAACAGAGCCAGCATACCAAGAAAAATCATTTTATGTAAGTACAGAAACAGAGGAGGAAATGATACAACACAAATCACAGCAACAAGAAATAGTACATCCAGAGCTGGAGCAAACATTTTTGCCTTCTTCCAGCGAAAAAGAAGCTCCACTGGAAATGGAAAGAACTTCAGAACATCCAGATTTATCATATTTCTCTCATGATGAAGGAAAAATGTTGAAAACACCAAATTTACCATTCCATTTGAAGCAACAAGAAATGGAACCAGTAGTGATGGAACATSCAGATTTTTCATGTGACAGTGGTGAATCAAAACAAGGTGACATAATGGAGCAGGAGTCTGGGCATCCAGAGCTCTCATACTCCATGGAAGAAACACAGGAAAGATCAGAATATTTGGATTCACCAGGAGGCCTGGGTGAAGCAGGTCAAGATGAAAGTTTGGAAGTAGAATCTCAATACTCAAATTTATCATCTTCTGATGATATCCAAGGGAACCTGCAAGAAATTTCACAAATTGATTCAAAATACTCAGATATGTCATTTTCCTTTGGTAAAGGCGAAGAACAAACAACTCAGACATTAGAAGCTAAATATCAAGAATTGCCTAAAGTAGCTAGAAAAAGAGCTTCTCCAGCAACTGCACAAATAGAGTCAAAACATCCAGAAACTGTACCATGGGAAGTGAAGCATCCTGATTTGTCACACTCCACTGGTGAGACAAACCAGGAAGAAGTAACACAGTTGAATCAAAAACACAGAAAACTTTCTCTTGGCAGAGAAAAGCAGCAGAAAGCCACAAAGCAGCAGTTAGAGCAAGAAAAGTTAACACATTCTCCAGATGAAAGGGACACTTTAGAACATACCCAGAAAGGCTTGGAACAACCAGATTTATCATTTTCCATTGACAGGCCAGCTGATAAAATGACATCACCAGAGGCAGAGCACACTGATGTGGTATCTCCTCTGGACAACACAGAGGTACAACGAACAGTACAACAAGAAACAGAGCAAACTTATCCCTTTGGACAAATGGAACAGAAAGCAGTTCAGCCAGAAGTGGAGATTTCACATTTGTCATCTTCTGTGGGTAAAGCAGAGGAATCAGAAATGGCAGAACCAGGGCAGGGACATCCTGATGTGCCTTACTCTGTTTTCAAAGTAGGAGGGCTGCAAACACCAGAGCTGGAACATGAACACCCTGGTCTAGCATCTTCCCTCAACAAAGTGCAGGAAACAATCCAGCTGGAATTGGAAGAGCCATTGTCTGGTCATGACAAAAAGGAGCAACCCAAACCTGCACAGCTAGAGCGAGGCCATGGAAGCTTGGCACCCCTGGTCACAGAAGCAGGGCAAGGAGGAATGGAGCACACAGCTGTGGAATGCCCCAGCGAGGAGCAGCCTGTCAGCACAGCAGAGCATCCACGAGCTGAAAAGGAGAGACAGAGAGCTCTGGATGCATCACCTCATAGAGGAAAAATGGAGCAGAGCGAAAGGCTGAAAACAGAGCCAAAGCATCCTGATTCATTGCATTCCACTGATAAAGCAAAGCCACAAGGAACTGCTCAACCAGTGGCAGAAAAAACAGATCTGTCATCTTGGTTTGGCAAAATGGAGCAAGGACAAACTGCTGAAGAGGAGAAGCCGGGCCTCCCGTATTCTTTCAAAAATGCTGCACAAGGCAAGAAAGCATGGACAGAATTGGGACATTTAGAGTTAGGTCATTCTCTCAGTGAGGCAGAGCAAGAAACTTTAAATGCAAAATCACACCATCCAGATTTATCTGCTGGGAGATTAGAACACCATGAAATCATACAGCCAGAGGCAGAAATAATGGATTTATCATGTTCAATTGCTGAAACACAGCAAACTCAAATTGCTAAAGAGGATTTGGAGTGCCTGGATTTATATCCTTCCACTGGCACAGTACAGCAAGAAGAGATCCAATCAGAGCGAGAACAGACAGATGAGTTTTCATCATCTCTCAGCGAAGCAGAGCAGTGGAAAGGTGCAGAAATGCAGGCAGAACACGCTGAGCTGCAGCGCTCTATGGAGAAAACAGAAGGACTGCAAAATTCCCAAGCAAAATCAGAATATGCAGATTTGTCCTTCTCTGCTGGCACAGCAGAACCTCATAAAACAATACAGCCAGAGTTGAAAGAACGGAGTTTGTTGCATTCATCTGTCAAAACAAAACCATCATGGGCTGCCCTACCAGAGTCTGAGCATTCAAATGTCATGGGTGCCACAGGCAAGGAACTGCACACGGATTTGTCCTCTTCTGTTAGTGAAGAAAAACAAAGTGCACAACTGGAGGTCAAACAGGAGAGGGGAAGCTATACATTACAGCCCGAGGAAATAGTACAACTAAAATTGGAACAACCAAAGTTTTCAAGTCCACATGGCATGGAAGAGCAACCAAATACATCCCCAGAGGAAGGGAAGTTCCCAGACATCTTCTGTTCCTCTGGCAAAACAGAAAAACAGGACACTGCACAAGCAGGGTTCATGCCTTCTGATTTTTCATATTCCACAGGAAAATCAGAGCAGTTGCAACCAGAAAAACTGAAATCAAAACATCCAGATTTGTCATACTCTCCTGGCAAAGCAGAACCTTGCAGAATAAAGCCTACAGATCTATCATACTCTTATGGCAAGGCAGAACAACCACAGACTGCCCAGCTGGAGCATCCAGAGATACCATATTTCACTGGTGAAACAAAGCAGAGGGAAGGGATCCAGCCTGATCTGTCATGTGCTAGTTTGCAGTCCTCTGATGTTGAAATAGAGCAGCTGGAAATGCCTTCTGCATCACATACCTTTGTCAGCACAGAGGAGCAGGGAACTGCACAACCAGATTTCAAACCATCAGATTTATTAAGTCCTACTGACAGAGCAGAAAAGCGTGAAATGGCCCCACTGAGAGCAGGACATTTACAGAAGCGAGACACTGGGGCTCCTTCATCTCTAAGTGCTCAGCTGGAAACTGAACAACAAAATTTATCATCTTCCACTAAGGAAGCAGACAGCCACAAAATTCAACCATATTCATCTCTCACYGAACAAACAGTGTCTGTATCTCCGGGTGCTTCACACACCATCTCTGAAACAAGCCCTGAAGAAAGTCCAAAGCCTCCTCTAACTGGAGGCTCACCCCCCAAACATTTAGATATATCTTACTCCCACTGTAAAACCGAGCACACAGAAACTGGCCAGCCTGAGAGAGGGTCCTTTTTTGCAAGAAAAGAAGCAGAGAATACAGAAAGTCTTCTACGTTTGCCTATAGCTGCAAAGTCAGAGGCTGTATGTGAAATTTTACCTGAAGCAGAGAGAGAACAGACTGCACATTACTTTCACACATCTACACAATTAGAATCTGAAAAACCAGATTTATCATATTCTACAGATAAAATAGAAACTCTAGAAAGTCAGGATTACTTGACTGTACCTTCAAAACTGCAGTCTGAACCTTCAGTTCCATTTTATTCAGCTGATGAAACACATCAGCAAGAAGTTCCACCTTATTCAAAACCAGTCTCTGAATATTTGGTTCCCACACGGTCCCTTGCTGAACAAGAAAAGCAAAGTATGCAGCCACTTATTACCCAGTCCATCCAATCAGAGGGTAAACATGTAATTACACCACAAGAGGAAAAAGAAGCACAAAAAATCCAGCTCAGTTCACCTGAAGCAGCAAGCTGGAAGACAGTGCAGTTGGACAGTATGTCTCAAGTGCAAGACCCAAACAAACCAGAATCTTGTTTGTTGGACACAATGTATTTTTCTCCAGAGCAGCTAAGAAGTTCCCCCAAATTCACTGCTGAGCGAGATGAGCAAGCAATGCAGCCTGATGTAAAGACAGTGCTGAGGTCAGTGACCACACAGTCAAAGATGACTGGTGTAGCAGAGCAGCAACCAGTGTCATCAGAATCATTTACACCTTTTCATAAACTACCAGGAAAGTCAGAACTTGAAAAGTCAGTATCAGTGGCTTTCACAGATAATAAAGAGAAACAAAATATTCCATCATCTTTATTTGATGTAGCAGGCACACTTGAAAAGCAATCTGACCAAGTTTCAGGCATTTATATTGAAGGGGAGCATAGGCATGAAATTCAACTTTTTGAAGACCRAAAACATACAACCTTGGAGGATCTGGGAGCTGTTTCGTCAGACCTTGTTTGTGAAAATGTGACAGACAAAAATCAGCATTATTCTGGTGAATGGGGCAGCCCTTCTTCAGCAGAGATTAAGTCTGTCAGCTCTAGTTCTGAAGAAAAGCAGAACCCAGATATTCCATCTTTTGGGCTGGCTAGCTGGCTGGTAGAAGAGGTGAAAACTCGCTCAATTAGTCCAATAAGGGCTGGAGATACAGACGTGCAAGGAATTCAGCTTTCTCCAAATGAAGCTTCTGATTTTGCTCCAAAACAACTCCCATCTGGAAGCTGCACAGACCTTACAGTTCCTGGGGCTACAGAGACTAAGGGACATACATTTAGAGTTTCTGAATCAGTGTCAAATGAATTTCCTCACAGGAAATCCTCAGACACTAGTCCCAGAATACAAAGGTACAATTTACCATCTCTGATAGGAGATAATCAAGGTCCAGATAAACTTCTGGAACATGAAACTGGTACTTTAAACACTACAAAAATTGAAGCAATGCAACATGTGGAGGCAGGCAAAATGTCTGGAGTTCCTGAACATTACCTGAGGAGAGAAGAGGAAGAAGTGAAACATGCAAGTGCTGTAGAAGACTGTCTGCATGCTACAGAGACTACTGAACAAAAAGATCTATTTAATATAATTTCAGAAGGTTATGAAATACTCAATATTCATGCTCCTACACATATTTCTTCTGTTGATCAAGAAGAAAGTAAACACATGCCTGATAAATTAGAATACTTGGAAACAAATCCTTCATTTAGAAGAAAATTAGCTGATGATGGCCAGAGAGATCTAACTTCTGCAAGAACCACAGAAATTTCAGAAAGCTCAGTATTGGGAAAAACCGCAAGCCACGAATTAATAGAATTGGTCAAAAAAGATGATGTTGAGGACACTGGAGAAACTCAGCAAGAAAACCTCCTGTTGCCAGAAAACAATAAATATGCAATGTTGGATCCTAATAATGGTACTTCTGATATGGATTATTTCGAAAAATATACATTGATTGATGACAAATCCCTAATTAAGCCACAATTTGAAAGACGAATTTCATTGTCTCCTGTGACAGAAGATCCCAATGAATGCATGGAAGAAGCCAAATCTTCTAAAGAAAGTAGTGAGGAAGATACTTTGGAAGAGTTTTCCTTACTTGAAGACGTGGATGAAGTCTTTTATGGTACCATAAAAGGAGAAAGCCAAATGCAGTCATATGCAGATGCTACAAAACCTTTAGCACTGCAGAAATCAATCGAATCTACCGGTAAAAGCATTACAAATGTAGAAGATGAGCAGAAGTCACCAGGGACCCCTCTCTTTGATTCAGAAGAAGGAGTGTTAGAACGATCTCTTTTGTTCCCTACCACTGTTGCTGCAATTAACCCAGAGCTTCTAGAGGAGCCACCTGCTCTGTCATTTTTGTACAAGGACCTCTATGCAGAAGCAGTAGGAGAAAAGACAAAGGATGAGACTCCCTCTGATGAAGAAAGTGGTAATTCTAATGCTTCTTTCCCTAGCAGAAATTCAGACACAGATGATGGAACTGGAATATATTTTGAAAAATATATTCTTAAAGATGAAATTCCAAGTAAGGCCATAGGGCCTCAAAAAGATCAGATACCAGAAGATGAGTCCTTTAGCGGAGGAATTTTGGACTGGAATTCAGAGAACAAACAGAAGGAGGGATCTGGTGATAATCAGTATGTCAAAACTGCGGTTCTGTCAGAAAGAGGTGTTACGGAGAGAGACAAAATCCAGATTGACAGCAACATTCAAGCAACAATTTGCAAACCAATGCAGGCCATTCCTTTTGGAAGCAGAATAACTCCATCAGGTGCACAAACTGACACCACTGAACAAAGAGAAGAGGAAACTGTACCAGCAGAAACAACTGACGAGTTGCCAGAGCAGTCAAGTCAACAAGCATACAGCCAACGAGTGGATTACCAGGGAGCTGCATATCAAGAAGCTGGTGACAAGCAGGAAGAACAGCAGGATGTAACAGGACTTCCTCCAATGGAAAAGTACGTTCCGTATGTCAGGGCTCTCGCTGAAGGCAGTGTAGATGATCAGTACAGTCAGGAACATCTCTCCTGTTTGCAAACACACTTGCAAAGAGAAGAGCAGCACCCTGATGTTTATGAAGATCTTGCTGAGTCAATGGACTATGATGTGATTACACAAGAAGAGCTTTTGCAAGATGAAATCTCATCTCAATTCACACACGAGGAGCTATTGTTTGAGGACAGGGACTCCTTTGATCATGCTGCTGATAGTTATGAATTTGTTACTGAGCCAGAACAAGGAACACCTGTTGAGGTTGAAGAYTCAGGCTTTGTGGTGATGTACCCTGAAAAATCAGCAAAAAACATTCCTCAGGTTGAGAGCCCACAAAGAGAACTGAAGAAAGCACAAGTAGACACTTATTGCTACCACTGCAAATGCCCAATATCTGCTATTGACAAGCTTTTTGGAGAGCATAAAGACCATGAAGTCACAACATTAGATGATGCTGCAAACAAGATGAAGGTAAGAATTAATTTGGGTTACAAAAGAAGCTACTGAGGCAAATTTCTCCAGTCCTCTTGCATTGTCAAGGGAGAGGCTTCAAAGAGCAGTCCAGAAGCTAAGTTGCAAGATCCATAAAATAAAAGCTATTCCTAAACACCTGTCAGAAATCTTGAAGGGACACTATCTTATTAACGTGTTCTGTGGAGCCCCAGGCTTGCTAAGCTGGTATTTTAATTTACTGGAAGTTTGAATGACCATGTTTATATGTAGTTGTTATCAAACTTTCCAACCTTCAGTCTTCTTATCTGTGTAAGTTTGTTCTGTTTTGGATATTTAGGGGGAGAAATGGGAATAATGTTGTTTCTGTGAAAAATTGAGTAACAGCAGCTCTCTTAATGTGAGAAGGTACAGAAACCTCCATATGTGGAGACTGGTATCATGATAAAGTGTTCCTTATCCCACTTAGACACGYTGGTTGCTTGGAGATGTTAGACAAATTACACTACGCAGATTTATTGAAATGCCAGCCTATTTTCCATTGCATTCATTTTCCTCTGCAAGTTGGCCTTAAGTTGGAGAGGAACGCTTCACAAGGGCATGTAGTGAACAGGACTAAGGGTAAGGTCCTTAGACTGCAGGGGAGCAGGTTTGGATTAGACATGAGGATAAAAATTCTTCAATGTGAGGGTGGTGAGGCTGTGGAACAGGTTGCCCAGTGAAGCTGTGGATGCCCCATTCCTGGTAGTGTTCAAGGCCAGGCTGGATGGGGCTCTGAGGAACCTGGTCCAATGGAAGGTGTCCCAGTCCATGGCAACGAGTTTGGAACTAGATGGTCTTCCAGGTCCCTTCCAACCCCAGTCATTCTGTGATCTGTGCCCGTGGCATTGTAGCATCAGCACAGGTAAGAATTTATTAAAGTCCTACTTCTTGTCACTGTCTCTAAGCTGTTCCCTGCTAAAAAACAGATAAAATGTCCTCCATTTCAGTAGGCTAGTCCATTGCTATAAATACTAGTGAAAATGCTTTTTCTGTGGAAGTTACTGTTCATTAAAGTGCAGTTCTACTTGTCAAAACATCATGTATGTGGTATGTCACTTCCCCCATATCAGATCTGTTCATGTACAAGTAAACACATCATACAGATGTTCCTTTCTTGGTTACCAGCTGTTTACTCTCACCCTGGTAAATGAAAGGTGAGATCTTTTTCTTGACCCATGTTCATTTGACAGAAAAACAGATTTTGTGTTGTTTCACTGAAATTCCAGAAGGGCTTGTAGTCGTGGTATTTATGTTATCTTTGTATAATCTCATATGCAGAAAAAAGAAATCAAAAATAGGAGGAGTCAGTGTGGCAGTTTCAAATATCAGCACTTGCAAACTATCTCCATGGTGCTCAGATGTATAACATTAGAGCTGCTTTTTWTATATGGCCATTCATGCTTGACTTAGCAGCGATAACAAGCCATCAATAAGTCAGTAATAAAGTCAGAGACCCCAGCCACCCCTCAAATGTACCCTCATTACAGTGAGACAAGCTAAGCTGCAAATAAACATCCCATGATATCACTCCCTGGCTGCAGAACATGGATATGAAGTCAGTATCAAATCTGGCTGCAGCACTGGCCTGGCTTCACATGATTTCTAACACTCAGGGCTTGGGTTACTATGAGACTGCATTTGTGTGTCTCTTGTTACTTCTATATAATTACTGAGAAACCATTAAGATAGCAAAATGTTTGTTTTTAAATTACTAATTTTTTTTAACTATTGTTGCATGAAAACTGTAAAAACATAGCTTCACAGTAAAATAAATGAACTATGGATGGCATCTGTAAGATTTTATAGTTCCACTCGACAGAAATTTGTTTCCAAATCTTAGTGATTTGGCCTAAATACTTTTAAAGTAAGCTTTCAATTGCATTGTTCAATGTGACATTTATAATTAATATAAAGTCACGTGCTTGTTTTCTACAGATATAGCTGTAAAATTTTGCCATAATAAGAGTCTGCTACAAAGGAAGATAAATTTCTTTATAGATTTATGGCATCTAATTAAAATGAAGCATTTTTATAAATTATTAATTGTGCCTGAGCAGTTGAACAGCTTGTTTTCATAAAAGGTCAAGAAGGACGAAGAAAAAGCTCTAGGTTGTCTCTGATGCATGTTATGCCTTTGACTGCTTTTGTTTCCAAATAACTCAACCAGGGATTTTGATGATTTCTTGTTAATAGGAGTTATATATATCTATATATCTATCTGTCTGTATATCGATCCATGTATAGACAGATAKGTATCTTTGAAATTCTAATTTAAAAAGCCGTGATGCCGTATAAGCTATTACCCTCACGAATACCTTTGTTATCTTCCTTTTTATGGGCTCGTTCCTGTGATCTCTCAAGGACACTCATGAGGCTCTGAGTACCCTCACTTTCTGGCGAGGCTGCACTGGAATACAAAATGTTCAACAACTTGTATGGACACAGCACCTTGTTGAACCGAGCTCACTTGTTTTGGTTCTGTGACTGTTGCTATTTCTGTGCTTGTCTTTGCAGCCAGGATGATACTTAAACTTATGTAGCAATTGTTCCAATAGTGGAAGGAAAATATTGGCAAAAGGAAAATACTCACCTAAAATACATTGTGTGAAAAAAGTTTATAAAATAACCTGCCTAAGTTACTGAAACATTTTAAATTTCAGGATCAGTTAAGAGAATTGCTAATAGCATTGGAAGAAAAGTCGATGAAGATTGAAGAGTTTGTGAGTGATATTGAATTGCGATTTAACTCAGTCGAGGTAAGTCCAGTGTTTTATCACACCAGTTTTCTTTCCCTCTACAAGATTGCTTCGAAGATATGCATGTCTCGTTGTGCAGCGTCATTGCTTCCACTAAAATGGGCTGTTGCTCCAGCCCTCAAATCGACTTCTCTGGAAATTCACTGGAAGGTGTTAACTTTGGAAGAAGAAAAAGATTGCTTTTTTGCACATTGCTGAAGTGGAATAAGTAACTGTCAAACACTGAAGAGAAAAGTTCCCTTAATTTTGTTTATGCCTATAAAAAGCTCACACTGTGTCTTTATTTAGAATATTATGTGAAGCATCTAAATTAGTTGCCCAGTATCTTAAGTTCTGATTGCCCAAGTTCTTAAGCCTTGAGGACTGTATTAATTCCAGTTTTAAGTATGAATTTTTAGTTATTTTGTAGTTCAGACTTCCTATCTCAGTTCTCAAGTATTAAAGTTTAATTTTAAAGCCTAACAGTAAATAAAAACCAAAAGAAACCCCCAAACAAACAAACAAAAAAGCTGTTGTTTTYAAGGTATTTCTCTAGAGATATTTTTCCCAGAGGACTTTGCCTGCAGAAATAAAATTGTCTTATTGTCAATGTGCCAGAATGAATCTGGTGGATGGCTTGTGTATGGGTAATTGACAATTTCTGTGTATTCATTAAATGTTGTCATTTTATTCTGCAGGAAAACTGTAAGAAAAATGCAGACTTACTGGAAAAGCAGAATGAAGAAATGCTTAAGAAAGTGGTAGCACAATATGATGAGAAATCAGAGAACTTTGAGGAAGTGAAGAAGATGAAAATGGAGTACCTGTATGAGCAGATGGTAAATTTCCAGCAAACTGTTGACTCAGCAAAGGAAACTTTGGAGACCACAGTAAAAGAAACAGATGAAGTGGATGGATTTGTTTTCCTAAATGTAAGTAGAATTGGCTTTCATGCTGTAGCTTTAACAGTATTAGTTAGGAAAGGACTTCTGTATCTAGGGTCTCAATGAGTTATTTACTTTTTTTTTTTTTTTTTTTTTTTTTTTTTTTTTTTTTTTTTTTTTTTTTTTTTTTTTTTTTTTTTTTAAGATAGCTAAGTCCTGCTAGCTCAGCTACTCCATTCTGAAACTGCCAGATCATTTGCTTTTGATGTGGGAATTCTTAGAGAGAACTGTAAAGATGATGCACAGGACAAAAACGTGACTTATGCTACTAAAATGCTTCTGTCTGTTTTGTAAGAGGGTGAAAAGACAGTTTGATAATATACCTGGAATTAATTATTCACTGAGAAGTAAGACATGTGAGAGTACTTACATATTTTACTCTATGAAAAATAAAATACATATTATGTGTGATAATAAACAACAAAAAAGTGATCTTTGAAACAAGAAAATGTAATTGAAAAGTAGAATTGTTTCTAGGCTGTAGGGTTTCTGTTGTGTGTTGTTATTGTTTTGGGGCTTTGTTGCTGTTTTGGGGTAGTTTTTTAATGAGCAGACAGGCAGAATTTATGCACTCAAATTGCTGAGGCTGTGATAAATATTTGCTGTTGAAAAACAGTGAGGGGCTGTGTCCTCCTTGGTTGCTGACTTCGGTGAAACCATGTCAGTCAGACAGGCTGAGGGCTGTGCATGTGAATTGCAAGTCTCTAAAGTCCTTTCTGAATGTTAGAAACATCTCCAGTGAATCTGCAGAACTTGACATACCTAACTCGTACAGTCATTAGTCCTAAACTTTGTTCAGAGAGTGTTATAGGCTCTGGGTCCAACAGTGCTATTCTTTTGCTTCAAGACTTGTCCTTAAGTGAGCCATGGTACCTTCTCCTCTCCACAAGTGCATTAACAGTCTCAAAGAGGATGGACCTTCTGGAATAATAATCTTCTCCCATTATGGAATTAGCATGAGGCCTAGCAGTTGCAGAGAAGCTATCCAGGAATGCCAGAATAAAAAGGTCAAATTATTGTCTAAAGGACTGATCACTCACAAATCTGCTTTCAAAATATGAGTGCCCAGCCCATATATGCCCCAGCAACTACAGAAAAGTTGGACCAATATTTGGCTTTCTTCCCTACTCCGTGCCACACAATGTCTTAGTATTCTGTAACCAAGTGAATGTTGTGATAGATTGGTAATTTTGAGATGGATGAAAAATGTAGATTATTTTCCTGATTTTGGAGAATCAATGCTTTGGAAAAAAAGATAACTTCATAATCTCTGATTGTTTTGTGCAGCTGTGAAAATTATTGGATTCCCTGTTCCCTTCTGTTAATGATAAAGGACAGGAACTTTTTTGTTCAGGCCAGGAAATATTAATTGAAGATTTCTGGGGTATGGGACAAACTCCTCCTCTATAAGTACAAATCTCACACAGTGTCTAGTAACAAGAAGTTATGAAGGACATTTTAGCCAGAATTTGGATTTAACTGTTCTTAATGTGCAAGTGATTTCTTTCTCTAAAAGTCCTGGTTTAAGAAAGTACTTGACTGTGTTCTGGTCTTTAAACCTAGATATTGAATAATAAACCTTCAGGCACTTAAAACGAGATTTATACTCTAATGCCCTGCTGAGCCAGAGCTTTGAAGTGAAATCTTCCTAAGGAAACAAATTCTCTGCTGGTGTGAATGTGTAGCATTCTGCACAAGTCAGTAAAGCTGTGTGTTTTATGTCTGTGGAGAGTAAAAAGACTGTTAGATGATCATGATCATGATTTTCAGCATTTTGGGGCTTTTGAACATTGATAACATATTTATTTTCTTACTCCTCTAGTCATCTAAAGAACTGAACAAAAGGTACATGAAGTACAGGTTAAGTGCACYGCAGTGAGCCACTAGGCCTGCATGCTTCATTTGCAAGCTTTGAAAACACACCACTAGTAATCAGAGCTACTTTTGTAAACCTTGCAAATAACGAAATTAAGATAAGTGGTTTTATACTTGCTGCTGTGGCTGACTGGATTTGAATGTTTTGCATGTGTTCTTTAATATATTAATTAAAAAAACAGCACATTACAACACCAGCTCAATTTTAAACCTCTACACAGACATTTTTAAACAGATGCTCATTGTAGTTTTTATTATACGTGCATATACAAAATCCATTTTGACCATGCTTCCACCTTTCAGACTGATCAGACGTATCACTGGTAAGTCTCTTTTTTTCACTAGTCGGGTTCTGTATCACTTGGTCTCTGAAAGGTTATAATACAAAGCAACACAGGTTGCTGGACTATGTTTCTGAACACAACTCCAGAAAAATGAGATTAAGTAGATTTCAAAACCTTACTAGGAGACAATGAGSTGTCTGATTCAGGATGTGTCAGTGGTGAGGGTTCCTCACCCCTGGTGCATCATGGTCTGCCTGCACACACCAGTAAATGCATACAACCACAAACAGTTCTCTGCCATGTAGGATTTTCTCGAGGGAGTTATTTTGGCGAGTCCCTGCCTTTATGAGAGAAGTGTTCAATCATAACCCTACATTCCCCAATAAATTTTCTAGGGTGAAGGGAAAACATTCAGAGCAGTTGGCTGCAGGCTTCTCCTATGCAAGTCCCCAAAACTGCAGTGCCCACCGCAGCACCCCCGACTTTCCCCAGAGGGTTTGGGCATTGCGAGCGCATATCAAACATACCTTTGCCAGTGCTGCCTCAGCCAGCACGGGGATATGCTGACATGGACTGGGCTATAGCACTGACACCAGGGTTTCAGTTTGCAGTCAAATCACAACCTCACTAGAGCGCTCTGAAGAGAATGTGCCAAACGCCTCTCCAAGGTTTCTATTAATCTCCAGAATTAGGACTGTAAATCTGTGCTCACCTGTTGCAAGTGAAACCGTCTGGCCATGTATCTGCCTTCGGTTTATTGCATAATATCAGAGCAGGTAAAATGCAACAAAGCAGTTTTCCAGGGCTTTCTGTCCACTTGTTCTTTATTTGTTTACATACACAATAAAGTTTGTTCTGTTTGGTGCATGGGCCTGGTTGGTGCCTGGTTATTACTTTTGTTTGATAATAACTGACTATCTAAAATAGGTTATGAACAAGTCTATTTAACAATGCATGCTTTTCCAAAGGAAGTGTATTTTATATTTGTTGTGCTTTAAGATTATGCATAAGTAACTACTTCAGAGACTGGAATAAAAAATGAAAGGGAGAAAGACAAAATTCAGATTAATTAAAAAAGATTGTTTTTCACTTCTTGAGGCTGCTTCTGTCCCACAGTTAAAAATGTTTTGAGTTTGTTTTTTTTTCATTTAATAAGCCCAGCAAATAGGGCTAATTAAGTGGAATCTATCTTCCTTCTCATGTTTTTTTGGCTTGCCACAAAGCAGCTGCTTTACGTTGCATCTCAGGAGTCAGGTGCTGTAGTTAGCTCTAAGGTTTGTAACCTTTAAAGGCACAGCATTAGCAAGCCCAAACCCTGTGTTCTTGAGAATCTTGCTGTGAACTTCCAAGTCCTCACATTCTCATGGGTTAAGCGTAAACAGATCATGTGTACTCTCACTGTGCTCCTGATTCGAAACTGCAGTGTGGTCTACGTTTTCAAAATCAGGGAAACAGCTTCTCCTTGCATGTTGTCCTCAAGTTCACAGGAAATATTTAGAGAAGCACATGTCATGTGGTCTTTGCTTCTGGCCTTTGGAAAACTATGCAATGCCACCAATTATTTATATGGACAAATATGTGTTTTCTTCCAACTAGGTTACTTTCTGCGATGGATACCACCCTCTCTTTAGAGAAGGTGCCCAGTGCTTTTTCACTGTTTGAGCACTATGCAGACAGTCCAGGACAAAGCAACCAACACTCCCTACAACACGTGCCTGGTAAGCAACTCTGGATAGCGTCTTTACAAAAGCTAACATTTTGGCAATGCTTTGGAAACTTTAGGAAGCTAAAAACGGAATCTATTTGTGAAGTATAAATTTGCAAACTGTGTAATTAGCAATCAGAGTTGAATGTAAAATGAAGTTTAATTGTGCACAAGTGTTTGGCTTATAGTAGGTACAGTAACATGAGCAACAGAGAGAGAAGTGCTAAATTGGGGAATTATTACATCATTTCAGACATCTGTAGCTCAGACAAGCTGAAGGTCTCAATCTGTAAATCTCCCAAGGCTAAAGAAGTTGTTTTTCCTTGCTGGCAGAGATAGAAGCAATCAAAGGGTCTCCTGAGCTCTCTTCCTCTGAGGGTGACATCCCCAGAATGGGAAAGAGAGCAGAGTTCTGGTTGATGGCTGAGGCCTTGCGACTTATCACAAGTGAATTGAGGCACCTGAAAATCCCAAGGGATTTGAAGGCAAAGGGAGTAACTACAGCTGGACACAGCCTCTGCTTGGGAGGGTAATAGTGAAAACTGCAAATGATAAAGGGGTTTACTTATCTCTATCTGTTATTTCATGTCCTTGAAAAAGCCTGACTGGGCTTTCTGCTCTGCCTGCATATAAAGGTGTACTCTGTAGACCTGGATAGCTGTCAACGAAGATCTTGTCAGTACCATTTTGTGGACAAATTTTCTTCATAATGGGACCTCACTCCAGAGTTTCTTTTCCAAGAGAACACTGGTTTAGGGATCTCTCATCTCACTGTCCTGCTTTGTGGCCTCSCATTCATCACCACATGCACCAGTGCCATCATAGTCACTCCCTGGCTTTTGAAGTGAAGCCTCTTTCTCATGTGGTTGATCCCTGAGGGCTGAAACCAGACCATTAAATTCCCTAAGGTGCTTTGTTCACTGGCTGGATTTTCAAGAGACTAATGGGACATTGGAGAAGTGCCCACCTTGTGCAAACTCTCTGGTGTCTTAATAAGGGCTGAGTGCACTTAGCAGTATGGGGAGATTGTCTCTCTCCTCCACACCACTAATTTTATTAGACCTAGAGGACCTCAGATATAGCTGAGATGTCAATGTCCATGTCAGATTTGTATGAATTTGCCTGTGGCATTTGAAGTTCTCAGGTGAAGCTGGACAGGCATTTGTGCATGCAGCATTATCGCAGTGTCAATTTTTTAGGAAGTTGGATAAAAAGAACTTTTTTGTAACTCACACTGCCGGTTAACTTGCTGGTGTAAATGTGCTGTGTGTCTTGGCTCAGTTCCTAAACTTCCTCTTGCAGTCCCATGGGTGCAACCGTTCATTCCTCCTAGGCTGCTGCCTGCTGGCAAGGTCATACAGGAGGACAGATCCACATAYTTCCTTTTCCTACAAGCCACTCCTACACATACTTCCCTAAACTGCTGAAATCTGCTTTCTGGGTTAGTTTGCATCAGCTWCTGTATTTGCTGGCTCCAGACCAGTTTGCTATGACAAACTGCAAATGAGTAATTGTCCACTAGCAAGAGATCTTCAAAGCACTTTATCCTTTATGTTTACTTAATCTCTAACATATCTAGTTTTCTGTCTTCACTGTTACTGCAAAGTGATTTTTACTTTGGCAAGCAGCAGACAAAAAGAATTGGGGTGTTTTTTCTTATTCATTTGATAGTTTGTTTTTCAAGGTCATACCCTTTCTGAAAGAAAATAGTGTTACATGTATACATGAAACTTGATTTGGAATTAAATAGCTTGAATACATAATTTATCACATAGTGGAGACAATTTTCAGACACTCAGAATTTTATTTGACTGAAGCCATATGATGAAATGCATATGAATGTGCCAGGTTTCTTCAATCCATATATTTTCCTTCAGCAAGTACAGTGTTTTACTGACCAATTCCACAGAATATTACTTTCACTATTTCAGAAACATCTTTTTTTTCAAAATGCCCTCCATTTCTAAATTTTCCATATCCACTAATGCAAAGCCCTTTTCCCTCAAATTCTTCCTCCTTTCATGTAATCCATTTCCATTCACAAATGTATTTGCATTAAAAAACCGTTGTAGCATGCTGTTGAGCATAATGRAACCCAGCTTCTGCTTGGGAATAGAAGAGTGGGAATAATTAAAAAATTTAAAAATTATTATTTACAAAGCCCACTGCAAGTCCTGTCCTTTTATACTGGAAGGTGAGGACCTTTGCCGATTGTAAAAAAATTTCCAATAGAGTCACAGATGAATATTTCTGCTCTCCTTCTTCAAATACACAAAGCCAAGGAAATGTTGTTTCTCATTATATCGGGAAACATATGAATTATCCTTTTTCTCCCAGGGGCTATGGAGATTAGGTAGCAGGGCAGCAAACTTCCTTATGCCACAGCACTTCAATGAAAACTGAACTGATGAGAACATACCCCATTTTTGTGTTGAAAAATACCATTTAGCCAAACTTGTATYGCAAATACCTCATTTTTTGATTAAAAATCACTTTAAAGGGTCAACTTAAAAAAGGACAATGCATAAAAATTGTATAGTTCAGAGAATAGTTCAGCTCATTTTAAAATTGCTTCCTTTCAAATTGTTTCATATCATGCAAAAGGAAATTAGAAATCAAATGTTTCTCAATGTTGCTGAACTGAATTTTGATCCACAATTTTTTTTTTCAGAAGTTTCATTCAGTAAAGAGCTTCTGTTCAGATTTGGCATAATAATAAGTCTTGCAACTGTGGGGTTTCTGTGATCAAAAATAGTGGTTTCTAGGCAACTTCATGGGGAAAAAAAATGGTTTTCCCACCACGTCCACTGAAAGGAAGTATTTTCCTAAAGATGATAAATTTTTTAATTGCCAGCTCTAGATGCAGTCAAAAGACAAAATGAAGATTGTTTTTAGCAATGAGTAGGATAATTTTTTTTTCAATGGGAAGCAGATGTAATGCTACTGTACTGGTAGCTCTCTGTATAAATCATAAGGAAACAGCCAGCATCTGCATTTGCCTTGTTCATGCCACAGGGGATCATCATCATCATTACTGTGAAGATAACTGAAAAGAAAGCAAAAGCTTTCTGCTGAGATTCTAAGAGGATTCATGAAATATGGAAATTTACTGGGTGAAGAAATAGAACCATGTATTTTCGTTCCCTGCAATCACTTTAACAATTACCATCTTTTGGGGCTTTTTGCTTCTTTCTTTCCCCTCCCTCTCTTTTATGACATAATCACAGAGGAGAACAATATCTCATCTGCGGTTGGATCTGTGTCGATCAGGAGACAAAGTTTGAGTGAAATTTGGGGAGCCCKGGAAATCTTTGAAGCACTTTGTGAGGGATGATCCTGGCTGCCCCTCCTTCCTGCCACAGTCATTCCTCACAGGCCCAGGGGACTGAGAATGCTTGGGGTTCAGGTGCTTTGGCAGAGTTCAGGTGCACCTGCACCCCAAGCATTCTCAGTCCCCTGGGCCTGTGAGGAATGACTGTGGCAGGAAGGAGTGCCAATTTCTGTTTGTGCAGTAGGAGTCCATCCCAGGGCAGGGTGGAGCCGAGGCTGCAGGGAGCCTGATGTGGCAGATCCTTCCCTCTGCCCACATTTCTGGGATCAGTACACACATCTCCCTGGAGTAGGGTGTGGGCACAAGCTTTGTGCTGGATTTGGGTGGTYCCATTAGTAGAACTGCATCTTATTTTGTCCAGATTGTGAGGGACATGGGGGCCTTCCAATGCTGCGCAGATATTTTTTTCTCTTCCTGGTTTATGAGGACCTGTTGCACTAAAACTGCACCAGTATTCTTTATTTCCTGGCTGTACTCGTGGATATAAGCAACCTGAGTGAAAACAAGCAATTGGGTTGACTTATGAATCTGTAGGTAATTTGGCTGAAAACACAGGAGCGTGTATAACCATGGGAGATTTCCCTCTCAGTCCCACAGACCCCGACTGTCATACCTCAGGAGCCAAACTCGGCCACCAGCACCTCCATTGCCGTCTACTGGGCTGTGAGTGACGGGGACACCATCGACTGCTTCCAGGTCTACTGCATGGAGGAGCCACAAGCCAGCAAAGATGCAGGGGGTGCGTAAGGTCTTGCCTTTGCAATTGCAGGAGTCCTTTCTGCCTGGCCTGGGGTAAGCAGAGGGGAGGATAAGCTGCAGGGGAATGCCCASGACATGGAAACAAGAATGGCTGTGAAGCCTCATGTATAGAACTAAAGATAGGCAATGGTCGAGGAGATCATAAGGAAGCTGSTGTTTCTTCTCCTCCCCTTTGTCCTCTCAAATGCAAGATAATCATGGTCTGGAAAGACAAGGGCAGTTGTTTTCACCTGTTGTGCTGCCTTTTCATGATGATGCTTGGCCATCAGAAAGGATGTGTCCATGCTGACCATGAGTACTCATGGGGGCTGCAGATGGAGCTCCCAAGGGGACAGGTTTCATTCGGTTTTTAGGGCCCTGCATGTGCTTCAGAAGTATGTCCTCACTGAAAAAGCATTGGGGAAATGCAGTCAGTATCTCCACATATAGAAAAAATATTTCAAATGTTAAAAACTGAAATTGAATAAAGGGTATTGAAATGCTCATTCATTGAAAAGCTCAAAGCAGAACATAAAGACACTTTTAGTGAGCACGCTATGCACAAATCCATGTGTGCATATATGTTAACAAGGATGTTAAAGGCTTTTTATTGTAGGTAATTTATAGCTAAGGGCCATATAGTTTATCATGAGAAATTGCAGTTGCAGAGGTTGGTAACTGCAGGTTGCACATCCCAAACTTGCAGTCCAATCCTCAGTAGGGCTGAGGGAGATAATCTCCCCTTGCCATCAATGGCATTCGTGTACGCTCAACGCAAGGGCACGTCAAAAACTTCCACTCAAAAGCAAGTCAGAGTGAAATATGGAGGTCTTAGCTAGTAATGATTTCTGGATTTTTTTAATTCACTGTGTTTGATATGCTATTTGAGAGGCTCAGTTGTAAGCCCTACCAGTGCAGACAGGAGGGTGATGTCCATGCATGTGTGTGTTCTCCYAGCCTTAGTGGAAGAGTACAGAGTGACAGTGAAAGAGAGCCAYTGCATTCTGGAGGACCTGGAGCCAGATCGCTGCTACAGTGTGTGGGTCATGGCTGTGAATGGCACAGGCTGCAGCTTACCCAGTGAAAAAGCCATTTTTAAAACAGGTATGTACATATTTTATCATTTCATTATTATAAGTTTCAGGTCCTTAGACAAATTTAGTCCAAACTGTTACTGACACAGAAGAAGCTGCTTCATTTAGCCCATCTGGCAGATAGCAGGCTGTTCACGGTCATTTCCCTGTTTGCTAAGAGATAGTGGAATAATAGCTCCTGAGAGGAAACTTGSAGGCATTCAAATCGGAAGATGTTTCCAGCATCAGGCCCCATGGCTGCAGCATCAGGGCAGCACATTATGTACTTATCTTCTGAGTGAGCTGCAGTGCTCCAGGGAAGCTCTGGGAAAGCCACCTGGCTGCCCCCTGCTGCTTCTCCCTCTCCTGCCCACAGTGGAGGAGATGGCTGCGTGTTTTGCCTCTCTCCCATCTGCCTGAATACATCTATGTTGCATTGATTTAAGGGATTTTAATTTTTTGAGGGAAGGACTGCTTTACTGAGATTACATGCTGGGTCTTGCTCAGTGGGACACAGATCTCAGGTGTGGCTGAGAGGCTCTGCTGTTGTTTAACTAGTATAAATAAGGATGAGTAATTAGATGAGTATTGCTTATGAGCTTCATTTGACTGATTAATTTTTCTGAACATTAATTTCTTTAATAATTTGTATTGGCAAAACTATTGCTTCTTGAATTACAAGCAAAGAGAAGCATCCTTGTGTTTGAAGCCCTCCTGCCAGACAATTTTTTTTCAGTGTTACAGGATAAAAACAATTATTCCATTCCTGCAGGCACAAATACAGGCAAATATATTTAACAATTTCATAGTAAAAGCTTCCGTACCACACTGAATTTCTTGTCGAAATCACTTGGCAGCAAGCACAGCTTCAAGTCTTTTGCTTAATGTACTAGACTTCAAATCTGTTGATAATTCTCCTCAATACTTAATTTGTGTTTCATATTTTAACAAAGCTTACTTTCCAGAGAACTCAAAGTGGAAATTCAAATCTTTGGCCTCAGCAATGCAACTGTGAACACAGTGCAGTTTTCTGACACATGCACAAATAATGATGAGTTACTACTAGCTAATAAATCACAATTGAAAAAGGGGGTGTTCATCTCTCTGAAACAATTATTTGAAAGAAATCTCTTTGTCTGTTGGTGTCAGGCTCACCATACTTCTTTCCAAAAATTGAAGCCTTCTAAAAAAAGCTAATTTACAAGAGTTTTTGAAGGCTTTCTTCAGCCTATTTCTTTGAGAAAACAAATAAATTAGATCCAGTGTGGGTTTATTAAACACCTTCCCTAAAGCTCYGTTGAACTCCGTCTGGAGTGCACGAGCCCCAAATGAACTCGTGGGGACACTGCGGAGCACTGACTGATGCAAAATTGCTGCATCTCCTCAACACCAAAGGCAGAAAGGTAAGCACCAGTAATTGAAATCAGTTCTTCAGCTGCTATGATATAAAGATAAAATATTTCAATTCTTCAAGGAACCCAATGAACTCAGAAGCAAGAATGTAGAGTTTATTTTTTTGCAATTCAGAACTTGTAATTCAGAACTTTAGTAATTCAGTAATTGGCACATACAAGGAAATAATTTGCTGTCATATGAAGTTATAAGAATATACACATCGGTAGCTGGACAAAGCTGTGACKCTTCCAGTTGTTGGGAACCCCAACAAAATTTGTTACCCCTGCACCTGTGGCAGTGTTAGTGTAGCCTGGAGAGTTGTGGGGAATGCAGATGGATGCTGCTGTAGCATCACCCCAGAAACCCCTGACGCATGCACCTCCACCTCCCAGRGTCACAGCTTGTCCTTCCTCCACTGAGGAGCACTGTTTCCAAACAGTAATTTCTGTGAGGGAATGAAGCTGAAGGCAGGAGATAACCTSTCTACCACCCGACTCCAATCCCGACCCACAATGATGTCCTGATGATCTCTCCTTGCAATCCTAAAGACACAGAAGTGAATTCACCTTCTGCTGTTGCTCAAAACCTGCGTGATTCTCACCCTGTTGGCCACATACAATCACTTATATGAGTTCTGGAATATTAACAATGAAATTAGATTATGTACTCTAGCTGCAATTAATTTGTTAAAAAAAATCTCAGAAGCACAGTAACAGCTTTCTCTGGTATGCTCACTCTAACTACTCTTTAGACAGATATTTTCAAAATATAGTTAAAAAGCTTGATGTCTTGTGACATACTGTTCGCACATCCACAGATATGTGTGCGAGCTGSTGAATGCAGGTATTAGGGGATTCAGCTAATAATTTTTAATTCTTGAGGAAAGAAACATTTAGAAACAGTCAATATTCAAATATATCACAAGAGAATGAAGGGATTTCATTGCTAAGGAACCTGCAAAAAAAATATTACCAGGTGATGCTCTATCCCACAAATGCATTGTTCTGCTGAATACATACATTAGCTGCTCCTCGAGTAAAACATAAAGTAAATCTTAACCTGAATTGCTAGCCTCCTGATTATCACTAAGCCAGGAAACTGTTAAATACTTGTGGATGTTTTTCTTTCCTTTTCTAGTAACAACAAATCATTTTTCTTAAAAAAAAAMCCAGCATCTGGAACCTCTCTTGCCATTCTATTAGATAATCTTGTCATAAAATTGCCTAATCCCTACTTTTGTCTTAGGCCTCCTATTTAGAACCCCAAAAGTAAAATTAATTTATTTGACCTTCTCTTTTTCTTTAATTAATAAAGTTTCTTTTAGAATTGGTATCAGGACTGTTTATGTGAGTTTCACAACAGGTTGTAAGGTGTTTTCTGTTGCTATTTCCCAGAATAGGAAAAAAAATAGGAAAAGAGAATACAACTAATCCATTTTCATTCTACARTGTTGACTGTGCAGTTTCATACAATAGATTTTGATTACTTGCAGCTAGTGCACTTCTTTACATTCTGTTTTCTGTCTTGCAGTTGGGCCTGTAGCTCTTAAACAGAATCTCTAAAAAGGAGAAATTACAGGACCAAATTTTAGCACTGCAAAAATAACCAGGACATAATTAAACAGAAAGTCAGCATCTCCCTGTCATTTTTGCAGCAGCACATTCGTTTCTGATGCAGTTCATGCAGGGGCTRCTGAGGACAGGATTGAGGTGATGCAGGGAGAGCTGTAGGCAGTGCTGCCTCGGTGCTCYGCTCCTTGCAGATTGGCAGAAATGAGGAAAACATGCTTCAGGAAAGGCATAAAAATTTACTGTTCTGAGGATATGACAAATGCACAAATATTCGCAGCGACTTTCCCAGCATGTGCTCCTTCTTTGTTTTCCCTGTAATGTACCCCTCTGTCACTCAAACACAAACAAGCAAAAGATCATTGCTGAATGTGGAAAAAACTATCGCGTGGGTTTTAAGGAAGCGACTGTTGTTTCCCCGGCAAGATCCCCCTCCGGGCACCCTGCTCGCAGTAGGGCTGACGTGTCCTTGTGTCCCCAGCGCCCGCCGTGCCCACCATCAAGGCCGAGGACTGCACCGTGTGCTGGGGCACGGCCATCGTCCGCTGGCGAGCCGGGTCCGTGTCCGCCGAGTCCTTCATCGTGGAATACTGCCGGCAGCACTCGCCGGAGGGCGAAGGTCTCAGGTCAGTGCCGCAGCCTAAAGCCCCTTGGTCAGATTAGGCAGCCGCTGGTGACCGCCCCCACCCCGCGGGGCATTACGCAAGGGATTATTCTGCCTGCAGCCACGCAASGAAGAAATCTGCTTCTGTGTGCTGAGGAATTTAAGGGGCAGGCACTAATCTGTGAGATTAGGCTGAGACAAAAAAATACTTCCTTTTTATTCTGCTYAACCGGACAATCCCTTTCGTTTGGGGCCAAAACCCTGGAGATATTGTGCTGTCTGTAATCAACCAGAAGTTTCGGGATGTGCTGACCGGGAAAGCAGTCGCGGCTCCGCAGCTGCCACGGCCCCGGGGCAAGGCAAGGCAGGGCAGCTCCCCGGGAAGGCGTGTGATGGAGGAGCAGGGCCCATTTCGCTCTTTGCTGTGTGGAGAACAAGACAGAAGTCAGCTTTGGGCGTAGAGAGGGCGATGCGGGTGTCCCAGTAATAGCAGTGACCCATCTGTGCTGTCTGGACGTGCGGGCCGATGCCTCCCCACACACAGCTGAGCCTGGCTGTGCTGGCATGCCACAGGGCTCCAAGAGCAGCTTTGAAATTCGGAGCTGTGGCTGTTTATGCCAGACCCTCTCTGGTTTGCCCTGTGCTGAGCCTCTGCTGCATAGAGGAGAGGACAAGGAAGGGTGTCCGCACCACTGAGCCATGAAATTATGCACTGTGCTGAAATAAAGAGAAAATTGGTGCAGAACTGTAGAATCTTAGAATGGCCTCAGTTGGAAGAGACCTTAAAAATCATCTAGTTCCAACCTCACAGCTGTAGGCAGGGAATTACACAGTAATCTGGATGTCCTTGGGGCTTGGGGTTTTTTGTTTGTTTGCTTTTTAAAAACAGTGACAAAAAATATTCCAGCAAAATACAGCTGCAAAGGTCTGWGAAGTTTGGGGAAATGGAGAGGGGTGACTTGCCATACAGGAGCCTGTGGAAGAGCCTCAGCCCAGCTGAGGTTGTCTTCTTCACCCCCTGAGGAGCCCGCCTAAGGTCTTTACCTGTGGGGTAGTTCACATGAACATCATGGAAGTGGGACAGAGAGGGAAGAGCTCCATGAAGAGAARGGAAGGTCTCCATGCCCTGCAGTCAGAATTAGTTAAGTGGACTAAAGTGGTCATAACTTTCTAGCAGAGATGTACAACTGCGAAAATGTGCATGTGTTGCTCCTTTAAAAAGTAGGGTGAAAACTGAAATTAAAATTTTCTGTGTGGGTGGGAGACTTTTTRTCATGCAGTACCAGTGTTCTGCGTTACTGCAGTCAAGGAGAGGTCTCGCCCGTTCTCCGCCTCTCAGAGGGACCTGCCTGTTTCGTACATATTTCATGTGGCCATCAGTTCCCTGTCAACCTGCCAAAGCTGCTGTTGGTCAAACATAATGGAGGTGCTCCCAATACCTGTGCTGGCTGTTTGCCCTCAAATTTCTATGCTGTTGTCTGAAATGGACTTCTTTTCTCAAAACTAAACCAGAAACTGCTGATTTCTGTAATCCGTGAGCAAAGTGTTGGTAACACAAAGTGTTTTCTTGTGTGGTGATAAAAGTGGCAAGAAAACTTCCAGAACAGATCCATTTGCTTTCTCAAGTGACCTCTCAAGTGTAAAATGTAACGTGTTTATAATTATACTGAGTCACATTTGACTTTTTGTGCTCCCTGTTGGCATAAGCTGGCCTTTTACTGTGACAAGTGTGAAAATTTCCCACAGGACAAAATAATGAATTTTAACAGAATTGCTCTAGTTTAAAGTTCTCTATTTGTAGAAGAGCCCTGACCTCTTTCTGTGTGTCAAAAAGACACTGTTTTGCTACTTATTTTCCCTGAAAACAATTTCCCTCTTTCTTTTTCCTAAGTCAACCCYCTAAGAATGACATGGAAATCTTCTGTAGCATCACAAGTGGTGTGGAGAAAGGAAAAATTTCTGTTTAAGATAGTTCATGAAGTTGAGGGGAAGAGAGCCCACTTGTAGATGGAGAACATTGCCTGTATCACTCGTATCAAAGGCCCCCAACGCGCAATTTAGGATTAGAAATCAAGTAGACTAGAAGTCAATTAACTTCACTAGAAGCCAAGTATCTGTATTGGGCAGAATAAAACTCTTAACTCTATGTACACCCAGAATTTTGGTCTCAAATCTAGTAGATTCTTCTGGGGTTTTTTTGGTTTTTTTTTTTTTTTTTTTTTTTTTTTTTTTTTTTTTTTTTTTTTTTTTTTTTTTTTTTTTTTTTTTTTTTTCTTCTTTGAAAGCTTGGAGTTTGTCCTTTGCATGTTTCCTGAGCAACATTCATCTCGGGGATCAGCCAAATGTGGAGCCCTTTCACACACAGCCTGTGCCTTTTGTGTTTGCAGCAGCCCTGCAGCTAGGCAATTTCCCAGTCCCTGGGTGGGAGTTCAAACACATTTCTCAGCAACCTTAGAAGGTTCATTAATTTGCTGCGGGGGGTGCAGTGTGAAAGCACAGGTCAGGGAAGAACATTCAGGAAAAGTCCTGGAGAAGGCAGCGTGGTCCCATCCTACAAAGCTGCTCTCACAGATGTCATTCTGGGAGCTCACCCAAGGTAAAGGACACTGCCAAGGGAACAAGCAGGGAGAAGTGCCCTCATTGAACAGCTAGGGACATGTGGTCTAAAGCAACACCCTGTATACTTCAGCGTGCCAAAGAATCACATGATGGTTGGGGTTGGAAGGGACTTTGGAGATCACCTATAGTAACACCCCTGATCAAGCAGGGCCCCCTAGAGCCATTGCCTAGGATGCTTTTGAAAATCTCCAAGAACATCCTTGGAGCAGTCCCAGCTCCCCACGGAGAGAATTTGAASCACATCTGGAAATGAAACCTCACTAAATTTTCTTTTCAAATACTGTCAAAAACACAGCAATCAAACAAAAGAACCACAAAACCCCAACCAATCAAAACATACAAAAACCAACCAAAAAAACTCCACCCAGATCTACGTTTTCCCTTCTCTGTTCTCTCTTCTTGCCAGCTTGCTATCTGAGGGATATGATTTCATTTAAAATCATCTTAAATTGTCGGCAATGAGTCCCTGGCTTGTTGCAATGGTTYTGAAGCTCCTTCCCAGGTTGAATCTTTTTACGGAATCTTTATGAGGGATGCTTTGAAATGTTTCTTTCAGTTTCAAGAGCTCTGCTATTTTCTCACTGTTCAGCCTCTTTATGTTAAGAAGTCAATGGAGTTGTGGGTGGAAGATGGAAAGCTGTGAGAAATGTAGTCCAGGGATTAGGTATGTAGGCTGTTCAGATAGAAAGCCTGTGTCACATCATGCAAAATCCGTAAGGCACAGGGAGGCAGAAATTAGTGCAGTATGTGGTGAGCTTGTGCAAGTGGAAATTGCTGAATGTCAGCCTCTCTGACAATGCAAGACATGGCACTTCTAGTCTAGACTCCTTATGGAGCAAATCTCCTGCTGGAATGGGAGGAGCAAGTCTCCCTCTTGCATTGCCCCCATGATTGTCCATGATTGTCTAGCTCGGGAAACAGGCTGTGGGAGCCACAGAACCTTCCCTCCCTCTAGCTCTGCCGCAGCAGATAGGGGCAGGCAGGGTGTGTTTTGGTGACCTAACTCCTAAACAGCCAGAGCTGGGATTGAGGAGAAGAGAGGAAGAGAAGGATGTGGCACAGCTGGCAGCAAGCTCAGAGCTATTTGCTCTTTATTTTTAGCTTCAGGAGCTTTTTCCACTCATGGTGCACCCTTTCTGTGTGCTTCCACACGTATCTGGAGAAGCTTGCATACTTTCAGCCCTAGCTCTGTATCAGTGATAGCAGCACAGCTCTGGAGGTACTGTTTCAGTGGGATCTTGGGGGTGGAAATGACAATTATAGCACAGAGGGTGTTGTGAATCACTGCAAGGCATATCATTTGCTGGGTTCAGGCCGTATTAAACAATATCCCCTAGATGTTGTTTTCTTTAAATAAATGAGGATGCTGATGAGAGAAACATGCATGAAAATACAGCATCAGATTTCCCTAAAAGCAAAGAAGTCAGATTCAACGGACAACTGCTACTATAATATTCCTTGGCAAGTTAAAGATGAGGAAACATGCAACTCCTTTTTGTTCTGTTTTAAATAGCATATACCTGACATGTGGAGATTGGATTTTCAGACGTGCAGATTCCTCTTACCATGAGAGGGAGAGAGAAAAAAGATACTTAAAATATTTAACTTCAAATGATTCTTGCCTTTCTGTGCACTAGTTTTTGTATCACAATACCGAGAAATTGAGAGGACAGTGCAAATAAGATAACATTTAAGCTAAAGATGCCTCTTTGATAACACTTTGATAACAACATTATTACATTTCAAATCATCTCTAAAGTGGGCAGGTGTATATAGAGTAGAAAGTATCTGACATTAGAAATGTTGTAGGTGGATTTCTCTTTCTTTCAAAATTACAGTTCACTACTTAAGGTGAGCTTGAGGACGATTTATCTGCAATGCCTGTTACAAAAAAAAATCAGAAATCAAACAGCCTTCCACCAACACAGTCAGGATGCATTTTCCCTCGCCTTCTCCTACACATAACCTGCATGCTGTAAACTAAGCACTAATCATACCTTCTCTTCATCCCTGCTTTTGCATAATCAATCTAAAACATGACAAACTGGAGTGATTGCTGGGTAYCTCTCAGTATTCCCTCTCCCCCTTCACCCTGCCCTCTAGACAGGAGAGGCAGTAGATAACAAGACCTATTTCTCYTTTGCACGCAGCTTCTTTTGCGCTTGGATCTGGCTCAGAATGTAGCAAATGAAATTCCTACTTGTCAGCATATTCTGTTTCATTAGTTGGCAGCAGCAGGACTGTTTTTAATCCTTAATCGTAGCTAAAATTGATGGGCTCTTATTCTTAGGCAGCTTAAAGCTGGCTGAAATAGATTACCAAGCAGAGAATGCTATTCGAAAATCTGATCACGGTTTTATGGCCCAGATATGCTTAAAGTCAAGATTTTTCTGTTTCACTATTACAACTGAAAAGCAGCATGCTATTGCTCTCTGATTTAACCATGCATCCAAATTCTAATTTGGAGAATTTAATATTTGTGAGAGACCTAAGTCTGAACTTTGATGGCTGACCCTATTTGGCAAATGACTGGACCAGAAATGTTCTCTAAATACCTATGAGATACCTCTGCGATCCAGAGTATGGATATCTCGTGTCTACCCATTACACCAGAATGTAACTGTCTAATTGAATTTAGAAATTATTTTGTGTTTGATTAATGAATCATCTGATAAATAGTACATAGTGAAAAAGAAGATCTCCTAATTTCTTTGGAAGAATACTGACTTACATGACATTTTCCAGAAGACATATACCGGGCATCATTGTGCTTAAGGCATGCTGATCGACATATTGCCACAGACAGCTTTCGAGGAATAGCTTAGCATATCCTCCCTTCATCTTGCTTGTAATCAGGTTGCTCAAAACTCCTCTCTGGTGCTCTGTGCTTCAGATTCACATCAAAGATATCAGTGTGCAGCTTTTAAGGAACAGGTTGGGTAAGTCTTACCTAGGACGCCTGGGCAAATTTCTTCAAAGCTTAGGTACATACTTCTTATCCCCTGCCTCTGCTTCTATCCTTTTTTTTCCCCCTTCTCTCGYTTCTTTCATATGTATCTTCTTTCTCAGTTCCCATCTTGTCATTCTCTTCAATTAATCTTTTTTTTTTCTCTTGTCGTCTGTACTCAAGTCTAAAGTGCTCAGGTTCTCATCAGGCATTCATCAGCTTGCACCTTTTCCCTAAACCTTTCAGTTTGAAATGACTGCTCTGCTGTACTGTCAGTGCCTCACTGATGTGGTCTTGTGGTCAGGGCCTTGGTGAGTCATGAGGGTGAACCGAACTGTGCACTTTATGCCATGTTTGCAACYGCTTATCTTTACTGCATCAGTTCCAGCATTGATGTAACACATTCCCTGCAAGTAGTCTTGTGCTGATCCCGGAGCCCTGGMCTCTCTGAAATTCCTTTAAATTGAAAGAATAGATCACAGATACACTCAGTGCATTTGCTCAATGCTCTCAATCACTTTTAATGACAACTGTCAGCACAAAATACCTGTTACAGACTAATAAAGATGATGCACCAGTATTTTTCTAAGATGCCATCCTCCTAGAAAGAAATCTGTGTGGTGTAATCAGGAATTTGATGTGTTAAGAGCTGTGAGATTTTACCTTGATATGATAAATGCAGCAGAAGCAGGCATGTGAAAAATCCCGATGGATGAGCACTGATTATTCTTCAGTTTGTACTGCTCTCTSGTGGGATATATGCGTAAAAACAGTCACCCCAAAAGAATAGCAACGATCTGATCTGACTGCTGACTCGCCTGCCTTGCCTCCTCTGGGTCACAGCGATTTGTGCTGGAAAAGGTAATTTGTTTAGTTTAGCTTCTCACAGAGGCGTTGGTTGCAYGTGGGAGACTATCGTGGACTCCACTCACAAACCTGAGGTGGAAGGGAAAATGTCTTGCTCACTCTCCAAAGGCAGGTCTCCTGTTCTTGAATTTAAATACTAGCCTTATAGGTTCCTGTRAGCATTTCTGGGAGGAGATTATCTACTTTATACAGATAAACAGTCTTTACCTGAAGGCATACAATGCAGACCATGTATATTGTCTGGCTTTGCTGTTACTATATGAGACAAAAAGTGAGTAAAATCAAGATCCAATGTATGAGAATTTGTTAAGCCAACCTGTCATACTGCTGACAATATAGAAAATAAAATGGCATCTTTCTAGCCATCCAAAATCCTTCCACTGSTATTCAGAGCACCTGTGAAGTGGACTGAGTGAGTGCTGACTCCTGCTGGAAAGGACACTGGCGTAGAGGATGTGAGGGCTGAGGTTTTTGAGGCACTCACTGTGGGGCACAGTCAAAGCAGAGCACTGTGTGAGGGCAGCACTGTCCTGTTAGAGGGCACGGCACCACAACAAAGACAGAGCCCAGGCTTAGTTGTTGGAGGATTTGTGAGTGATAAGTTCTTAATAATAAGTAAACCACCACTCTGTGATGATTCTGTGATGAAGAGCCTGATTTTGTGTGTGACCTYAGGTAAGGGTATCAATGCCTTTGGACTTGTAGCATGTGCCCAGACAACGAAAACACAAGTGTCWTGCAACTGAATTAATTAAAAGTTGGGTTTTTTCTTCAGAAACTTACTAATTTTGTGAAACAAAAGCAGACTTCCCACAGAAGGCAGATGAGGATTTGACTCTGTGCTGCTTTTTTATGTAATGAATTGTGCTGCAAAATGAATATAAAGTGATCATTATACCAAATGAATGTGCTGGGTGGTAAGGTGGTACAGGAACAAAGGCCTGAAACTTTGTCAGACAAAGTGAAGACAATCCCTCAAGTGAAATACTGAAGCTCATGCATAACCCAGTTTGTGAAAAGAGTGTTTGCCCTTTTCATTTGGAGTTTCTGTATGGTCTGTYGTTTCAGTAGTAAACTATGCATTCAACGGTAAATAATACTGTTAGGARACTTACCTGTTGGCATAAAATAGTCTTCCCTCATTTGGATGCCTGCATACATTCTAATGTATCTTCAACATTTGCAGATCTTTTGCTGGTATTAAGAAACCTGAACTGAAAGTATCCCTGGAGCCCAATGTGAACTATTTCTTCTACCTGAGGGCTGTCAACCCATTTGGGACAAGTGAACAAAGTGAAGCAGCTCTTATCTCTACTAAAGGTAGATCATCCTTTCCTGMTGTGAAAACAATGAGATGGGAGGGTAAAGCAGACAAACCTTTTTCTTTGGAAATTATATCTGAAGTTCCCAATATGATTGTTGACCAAGTTATTGGAGTTTTTATCTCATTAACTCAAATTTATCTTTTTTTTTTCTTTTGCTTAAAACTGCCATAAGTGGAACTACTTCACTTGAAGTTTGTGTATTTATGTTCTGTGAAAAACTGATGTGACTTCAGAGGCAAAAATGTTGAATTCTGTCAGAGATATGAAGTGATCAAGTATGCTTCAGGGATCTCAGTTTGTTTGAGTCTGACAGAGCACAATCAGATAAAAGTTGTCATGACCTTAAAGAAAACCTCTCACAATTGAAACCTAATGGAGCTTGAGTGATGAGGAAGTATGCAAAGGAGTTTTAAAATGTAATGGATGATTCAAACTCTAAGACTTCCAGATAAATAGTGTTAAATTATGTATGGTTCTAAATCAGCCTCAAAATTCAAATTTGCTATTTTGAAAAAAAGCAAATGGTTGAAAATTATTCAACCTTTTTAACTTACTCTTAAAGATCTCTTTATCACCTGTCTGCATTTCTGAATATTAGACTGCTGTCCCAGCATGGAAGACTATTTGCATTTGCACCCAATTTTCTGTCACTCCTACCTGCCAACAGATAGAACTCTGTCCAGCTAAAATGGCAATAACTGTTGCTTAACATTTTTATTCTTAACCTCATGTTAATGTAGCCAGCCTCTCAGATCTGGTGTTTCTTTGTCATGAATTGTACCAGGAACTCGATTTCGCCTGCTGAGTGACACAGCCCATCCTGCTTTACAAATCTCCTCTAATTCAACAGTGATCCACCTTCCTGAGAAAACCAAACTCACTGGGTGAGTAGCAATGTGATGAGCACAACCGTCCTGTGGAGTTCAGGATGGATCCTTCACTTTCATTTTTTGCCTGTAGGCATCTTTTACATGACACTGTTTTTGTAGAAAAGCTGAATAATTTTGGTTATGCAGCCCCTTAGACTTTGTGCAATTGAACCCCCTTTTCAAACGCTGCAACATCTCAATAAAGTCAGTGGTGGAATTGATGTAGGTGCTGGGAAGAATTCAGTGTTGCACTAAAGAATGGCCAGGAAGTCAAAGGCAGWGGTACCTACTTGGACTTCTCAAATTGTTTCAGCCCATGGTCACTGCTTAATCCATCAGAGTCTCAAAGCAATTTTTTGCTGCCCTGAGAAGGTCAGATTTGTRGGCTTAGTTTTTAATATATTGTGGATAGAAGTAATCCATCTTCCATAGYTTGCTTCTCTCTTGAGGACATTATTGGCAATGTTTTCCAAAGTATTGTGGCTTTGAAGAACAAGGAAGTGCACCTGGGATATGTTAGCATGGTTGTACCAGGCTAGCTCTATCCGCAGAGAGCACAGCAGTGGGGTTGACATATTCATATCCGTCCCAGGACAAGCACAGGTTTACTTGTAGAACTTGTGCCATACTTACATGGCTTTTTAAAAGCGGCYTTAAGTGATTGCTGTTCCCACTGAATGTACACAAGATGTTTGTGACTATGCTTAAAACAGCCAGACTTTCTAGTTGGAGCAAGCCTTCTAAATCTGAGGTCTTTTAGAGAAGTCTGTCTTAGTGCAAAGATGAAAAGACTTTCAGTTAAATCTTTGATAAAACCTTGCAGTTAGAACAACAGAGTAGAATTCATTCGTAATTTTACATGATGCTTCATGATGTGACTGAAAGAAATACCACAATATGGTTCGTCTACCACCACACTCCCCTTACTGTGTGCTTCTTCCACAAACAGGTTTCCTTCAGTCCTGGGTGARCTACTGCCTGCTCAAGGATGTCATTACTGGGAAATTGTTGTCTCTGCCTGCAGAAGCTACAGGATTGGGATTTGCTATGAGGAAATAACACRGAGCAGTGTCCTGGGGCTGAGTGAAACCTCCTGGTGCATGCGATGCTGTCCTACACAAACCAGGTAAAGAATAGTCACTCCAGCTGCTTGGGAAGTTACTTGTCCTTCATGAAAATAAACAGAAGGGATTCTTCAGCTTTCTTTATGTAAATTTGAATAATAAGAAAAGGACACCTACACAAGGTCTTTAGACCTTCTCMGTTTAAAACGCCTTGTAAAGCAATTAATCTCAAACAGAGAATTTTAGCACCCTTCATCCAGGCAGTGAATAAAACTTAAAGAACTACTTTGTTGCTGCTCATATCCTGATTAGCTTCACTAAACCCCAGGAAGTGTATTTWTTTCCATAAATGCAGCCCTTTTAGACCCTATTCCCATCTGCAGACGATGTCAAGMCTTGACAGGGAGTGTTTTCTCCTGCCTGTTTTCTCTTTGCAGAAGTAGGTGCTCACCTGCCACTGTGGCAGGACTGCAGGGTGCTAGGGTAGTCTGTGCTAGCAGGCCAGTGCCAGGCTGCTTGATCTAAACAAGTGTGCTTTTTTCAATGTGAAATCATATAGCTGTATGAACATAATTAGCTAAATGCAACATCCAAAGGCTTTTTTTTCTAAGGGTCCAACGATGCCAAGTGAAAAGGCTCATTGGGGTGCCAGGCTGGGCTTGAAGTGATGCCTCATTTGCTTTGCCTACGTACTGAGCAAAATGTTGTTTCCATGTGACAGGCTGCTGCATGCAGCCACCTGTCAATAGATTGGAATTAAGCTGCAGGTTATTTCTGGTAAATTGCTGTGGGGAGGCTCACTGTGTTCTGGTTTCCGTTTCCCTGCAGCTTTCTTTACAGATTTCTTCACACCGGTGTGATGAGTGATGTCCATGTGACAGAACACCTGGCCAGGATTGGCATCCTGTTGGATTACAGTAGTGGCAGGCTGTCGTTCTTCAATGCAGAGAGAGGACTGGTGCTGTTTGCCATCAGGCACAAATTCACCGATGCTGCTCACCCAGCCTTTGCCCTGGAAAAGGCAGGAATGCTTACCCTGTGCACGGGAATGGAGCTGCCCGAGTTCGTGAAGCACAACTAATCTCCTGCTTCACCCTTTCCAGAAAACTGACAAATACAGCATCAGGGGATAGAGAGAGGAAGAGGCATGCCAGGAAGGGATAGCTAGTCTTCACTGATGAATGCTATGTGCACAGCTCTCCTTCACATCATCAGTAATTGTAGTTACTGCTCARACACATAATCACCCTGAGCCTGGAAGAAAATCGACTTCTTCAGATGGAGCATGCACCTAGTAACACACACAGCAGTACTTCTAAGGGGATAAAGAAGTTTTGTTAGATATGATAGTGCTAGCTGTCTTTTTAAAGTTAATTATGAACCCGTGTATGAAATAAATGCATTTCGCACTGCAATACATGAAAGCCATTGTCTCGTCATTTGCCAGGACAGTCAGAGCCTGAATCCAAGATGCTGCGCTTGGAAAATGCATAAAATTTTCAAAAACTGAAACATTCTGCGGATTGATGTATCCTGTCCAAATTTTTGCCAACTCTTTAATGCACAAATTAAGAAAACTTGGACACATAGAAATCCTCATGTTTTCAAAATGAGCAAGTCCCAAGCTTGTTCTTCATATGAGCCCTGTAAAGTCTAAGCGTGCCACACCTACCTAACCTGCTCACAGCAGACTACCCTGGCTGTGTCAGTAAATATTTGTGCTTGTGAATAGCTACGTGTGAAATGCAGGTGTGAGGAAACTTGATAGTAGTGGTAAAAATGTATTTTTCATCCTCAGTTTGTTGGGTAAGGGGTTTTAATGGTGAAGGGAATATTGCTGCTCAGGACATTGTGGATTACYGCTTTTCTGTCACTGCATGTTACCTTGGCAGTTACAAATTTGATGCTCCTAACTTCAGACTTGTATACATTTTCTTGCATCTGCCCTGCTCTTTCCTGTTATCTGCTCCAGCACCAGCGTCATGACAATGAGGTGCAGTGTTTCAAGGCCATCAAAGCAGGCAGGCTAAAACTGGTTGATGTCATCACAGGAATAGGATGCTTATTTTCCCCCTTGTCTTTTTCAAACTGCTTTTCAAAGTGTTTTTTTCCAAGCACTTCACACATTGTTGGTGTGCCTGTCTTCCTGCCTGTCTCAGGGGCTGAAGGCACAAATGCCAGTGGTGCTGAGCTCCAGTGAGCTCTGGGGGGAAATTAATCTTAAAGAAAGCAGGCAATGTTTTCATGCGGTGCCTGCTCTGGAGATTTCTGCCTCAGGGGACTCTCTTGCCAGCCTCATTTTTGAGCTCAGCTGAAGAGCTGTACTCTCTGAATTAAAACAGGTTTCAGGAGTGTTTGCAGCTGAAAAGAGGAGTTAAATGAGTTACAATGAAGCTTCTGCTTTTTATGCTCCGAGGAGGTGACTGCTGCTCTTGGTTTATGTATGATTTAACACCTTCAAGGCATGTGTTTTCTGCTCCAGCCTGCTGTATGCTGGTTGTCCCAGGAGAGCCACAGCCCAGACTGTGACAGCAGGCTTAGGCAACTGAGCTCTGAGCTCAGSCTCTGGGCTTGGTTAAGGCAACCCAAAGAGGATCCTGTGGCCTCTTCTTTTAAGCTGGAAGTCTTCCTGGCATTTCAATAAAAGAGTGCCAGTTCTGAGTCCCAGTCAGGGAGAGAGTGGAATAAAAGAGCAGGATTGTGCCCTGTTGGCTGAAGTATCTTGTAGAGGTGTGGAGGATGGTGAGAAAAGGTCCGGGATTAAYTGGGAAAGAAATACAGAAAGGGTATTTGGGTTAGCATTACACTGAAGGCTGAAGAGGAGGAGGCGACAGAAGGTAGGCTGGAAACTCACACAAAGCAGATGGTGCTAAACTAAGAGGCAGGTCAGTAGTGTCAGCAGGGTGTGTTACTCAGGCTCCTGCAGCCAGTGAGATCACCAAAGGTTTGCCTACCTCCSGAGTTTAATGTGGTTCTTAGAAATAAGCCTGAGATATGCCATACTATGCCCTCCTCACCCTGATCACTGCCCTTCCAAAAGTGGGACTGCTTCATGGACACCAATGTGATATATTGACAAGGGGAGAGATAGYGATTAGAGAACAAAATGACAGGAAAAAATAACTGGATGGTTTTTTCAATGAAGGCAAGAAGCAATTGCCTTGTCAAAGGCAACTATATATTAGTAATTAGTTGTTTTAAAATAAAAAGTGAAAGCTTTGTCTATTGCCAGACATTATCAGTGAGGTACTACTACACCACTTGAGCTTGGCCAAATGTTTTTATTGAAGTCACCTCATTCTCAGAAATGTTTGGTTAATTTGAAAAAATAGCCTGACTCTGTTTTCTTGACAAATTTTATATAAGGTCCAACTTTTAGATTGAGCACTATCAAAAAGTGTATTTACTCTTTATGTGAAAGCTGGGTAAAATGAAAGTGTCACTCAAAGAGCTTAAACAGTACTAATTTGAATGTCTAAATCTGGTCTGCTTTAAGCTATGCCAGATGAATAAATCCTGTTTGGAAAGATGGAACAAAGTGTGCAGGAAACCATATACAAGTTAAGATTCAGTATAAGGAAAAGCTCCTATTAGTGAGGAAAGCAGACCCCGAAAGCCACAGCTAAACTGCTAGGACTTAGAGTATATGGTGGAAATTCCCCTTCCCTTGGAAAGTGTAGAGGTACATTTGGTGTGGTGTTTTACTTGCCTGATGGGTATTAAGTTCAGGAACTCACTTTCCAGAAGGTGACTGTCCTTAGACACATCAATGTRCAGTGCAGTCCATATCTTTGCGTTCAGATGAACTGAGACCTTGAGGTTTGTTGCACTCACTTTTTTCTGACCTTTGCAGCTTGTACACTGGAAGAAAAAGACAGAAAGCTCCCAATCACTATATTTTTGTTGTACTTGATRAATTTAGCATTTAGAAATACCTCAAAGCCAGCAAAGAATATCACTGAGCTTGGCTGAAGTCACTAAGTCTTCAATGAAAATATTGACATTGATACTGATATTGACAAAATGGGTTGTGTGGTACCTATACATAGTATAGTCATCATTCCATGCTTAGAACAACATTTTTAAAAGTTAAAACATCTGTAAAAGACTTCACCAGTAATTTGGGGTTTATTTTCATTCTGAAGTACAAAAGCTGATGCCTAACATTGTTAATAAATAATTGGACTGACCTGAAACACATTGCATTAAAAGGAAAATTTCCTCTCGCTTCAGCAGATTTTAGATTGCTCTTGTAAAYCCCTGTCCACTGAGTTGAGAATAGAGGCATGACTGTAAAAACAGAAGCATTAATTTCTACTGTCAAAGTAGGGCTGCACTGCAATACTGCTAGTATCAGTGGTATTGATCCACAAACCTCGCTTAGGTCAGCCTGCCCCAGAGAGGGTTCCATGTGACGTCAGGCAGACGCTGGCAGTGCATCTCGCAAGCTGCAGCACATGCAGGAACAGCACTGCTCCTAAGCTAGCATTTCAGTGTGTACTGAAATGTACTGGAAATGGTCAAGTAATGCCTTATTTTAGAAACAGGTACATTAACATCACACCCCCCTCCCCAACCACCATTAYTGAAAACTGTGTGCATATTATCACTAAATCTGTTGTATTGATACTCAGTAAGTTGTTGCTAAATCCAAAGTCCTGTGATATTGTATGTGATGTACATGTGAAATATTATTTCTATTAGCATTGCAGGGGTTTTAAATAGGTATGTAAAGATGAATGCAGGAGTAATGTGAAATTAGGATGGTTCAAATCATTCTCTCTTCAGACTAACAAGTAGGGCCTGTAACATGTTGAGGTTTCAATTTGATTCAAAAAATCACGTTCTGTAGTATAACCACAATTGCATTACTGTCTTTTTGCTGATGGATTTACTAGCTATGGAGAATCCCAGTATACTCAGTCACAGAACCATGCTGTGAACAGATTCTAAACTAGTAAAGTACCTACATTTTTCATTTTGAGTTTGTCCAGTTTTGTGGCACCATGAAAAAATTGTATTTGCTGACCACGGATTACTCTGCAGGACAGTTCCTGCAGGACGCAGTGTGGAAGGAAATGGAACAGATTTCTACCCTAGACACTGAATATCATTTACTTCCATAGACAGGAAAATCTTCCACTAGACCAGGTTGCTCAGACTTCCATCCAACCTGGCCTTGAACGCTGCCAGGGTTAGGGGATCCACTACTTCTCTGGGCAACCTGTTCCAGTTCCTGTTGCTGCATACCCTTGTAAAAAGTCCCTCTACTGCTCTCTTGAAAGCTCCTTTCAGGTACTGGAAGGTGCTRTAAGGTCTTCCCAGAGCTTTCTCTTCTGCATGCTGAACAAACTCAACTGTCTCAGCCTGTCCTCACAGGAGAGGTGCTTGATGCCTTTGATCACCTCTGTGGCTTTCSTCTGAACTCTCTCCAGCTCTTCAATAGAGGGGGCCCCAGAGATGGGCACAGCACTCCAGGCAGAGTCTCTTGAGAGTGRCAGAGCAGAATCGCTCCCTGGACTGCTGGCCATKCTGCTTTTGATGCCGCTCAGGATGTGGCTGGCTTTTTGGGCTGCAAGTGCACATTGTCAGGCCATGCTTAGGTTCCTGTCCATCAATAGCCCCAGGTCTTCATCAGGGCTGTTCTCAATCCACCCAGTCCTTGTGTGGGATTGCCCTGAGCCAGGTACAGGGCTTTGCCCTTGGCCTTGGTGAACCTGATGTGGTTCGCACAGGCCCAGCTGTCGAGCCTGTCCATGTCCCTCTGGATGGCACCCCCTCCCTCCAAGGAATGGAGCTTCACACAGCCCAGCCTTCTGAGACTGCAAAAGTCTGCCTCATCCTTCCATGAGCCCTGCTCAGAATGCACCATGAATATGTAGTCCCGTAATTCTTATTTTCATTTTCGTCATGAAGAGAAGAACTACAGTTTGAAGTAAAATTAACAGAGATTATTTTACCTAATTCTGTATATTGTATTTTAGATATGTTTATGTCTGGTTCCTGCTATCGTAAAAAAAAAAATTAAAAAATAAAAATGAAGAAAATATAGCAGCCTACAGGAAAAGAACAACAACCAAAAAAAAATTATCTCTGATAACWTTATAACAAGAGAGGGAGCTTTGCATCTGTTCCAACAGCATCCACTGGTGCTGGTGTCTCACCCTGGCTACTGATAGCATTCTCTTTTTCGATAAGGTTTTTTTTCTGAAACAAATATTAATAAAAATATTTCAAACAAGATGTGCAACTAGCAGTGTAAATAACTAAAAAATGACTGCTAGTKCTTAGGAAATAATCTGTGTCACTGTTTGCTGTATTAGGCGAGGGCCTTCCTTTCAAAGCAAAGAATGTGTGTTGAGATAAGCAAAGAGCTTTC